ATCGTCCCCCGCAGGTACCGCTCCATCTCCCCCAGCCACCAATGATGCGCCACCTTCTGCGACCCTTATAAGCTCCCCGCCATCATGCACCCCCTCGGCCCCAAAGGGCTTCCTCTCTATAACGACATCTGCCGTAAAAACAGCCCCTACATCTTGTGCAAATACATACGCCGCTTCCGAAGCAATGAGTTTCTCCGGCTCAATATCAGTGATAACGGCCTTCCCGAGCTCTATCCTTCACCTTTTTCTCGATGGCGACTCCTCTCCATTAGACGAATCATCTACAAGATGATAGATAGGCCAGGAAGAGATCTCATCTCGCACAACAATAGACTGAGAGACGAAATCCCTCATTGACGAAGCTTGAGTACGACCTCCACGAACGGACTCGGCCAAAGCAAATTGCATCCCAGCCGATGCGATAGCTTGGCAAAATGCCGGCACTGGAGCCTTTTTCTTAGAAATTCGTCAAACTGACACCAAAAGGAGGTCGCATCAATGAGCAATGGTAAACAACAAAGCCGAAGAAAAAGTAACACTTACCATACAGGACCTTGAGTCCAAAACGCTTGTAAAAAACCGCCAAATCACGAATCCCCTCCATGTGAGGCAACATGCAAGCCAACTAATCTTCAATGTCGAAGACGGTAGAGGGTGCACGCCTTTTAGCTGAAAAACAAACCGCAAGTGAGATGAAAACGAAAGGACAAAAGAAGACAACGAGCGTACGACACACTTACGATTATGATTGCACTGCTCGGGAAATCCAGTCGAGTCCCCCACTAAGTGCTTGGTCTTGATGAAGAAGTACTTATGCCAGAAATTCTGATTCGTTCTATCATCCATTCTGACTACTAGCCCTCTGGTCCCGCGATGTCGTATGTATATCATATTACCTCTATAAAAACTAGGCGAAAGTAAGTGCAGCAGGTGGCGAACATTAGCCTCACAGCCAACCAATTCCGCATACTTCGTCAGCATCAAGAAAGCTTTATACAAGTAACGAGAGAGTTGCGTCGGGCGGATGTTGTAAAACCGGCAAAATTCCTCCGTTAGTGGAAGGAGAGGAAGAGTATAACCGATCAAGAATGGGTAGACATAGAAGGCACAGTACCCGGGTCGATGGACCTCTACAATGTCACCAGTGGTCGAAATTATCTTGACATGGGGAGGGATGCGATACTTGGACCGAAGGTCGGCTATATGAGACGGTCTAGTCTCGGAGAGCATCTGAGTGGGAGCAGGAGTAGGCTCCTTTGGAAAATCATTTATATCCAGAGGGTTTTTGGGAACTATCTCCTCCGCGGTAGGGAAGCTATCATCCTCTTCAGCCATGAATTCCTCACCTCCAGGAGGAGGGGCCACCGATAACGGAGTGGCATCGGAAACTTCGTCATGAATGTGAGGGGGTTGTGACATATTTTGATAGTGAAACATATTCTACCAAGCCCAAAGAAGAAGATAACAATTGGGTAAGAAAGAGGGGAATGGAATCGGGGAAGCAAAATTTTAGTTCAGAAATTGGGGAAGAAGATCAAAGAAGAACAGTACTCATGCAAAGTAAAGGATGGTGAAAACTTCCGAAAAATGAAACCTCCACTTATTTATAAGGCTGGTTGGCACCAAAATCGAAGCAGCAAATCGACAATGGCACCAAAATCAAAACGACAGAAGCACAAGCGCTGCCTCGGGAAGATACGTAATGATGACACACATGGCTGTGACGTCACCCCACTCCAGCCACACCAATCGCAGCCTTGCTGGCCACGCCTTCTCTTTTTGACCTCGGTTGCTTCGACCTAATCAATACGACCAAATTTCTCCTAAACAGATGCAGATTAGGTCCGCTTCTCAAGGGCGTGCAAGATCACGACCTCAACAAGCGAAGGGACTAACTGTATTGGTCAAAATTTGGCAACTCAGTAATTGTAGATAAGTCATGTCAAGGATGGGGTCGACCACGACATTATAATGAGGGGTCGTCCTCAGACGGATCACTGCCGAGGACGAGCAACTAGAGTTATAATTGTAACGGTAGGACGGGCTTAGAAAAGGACACCGGGAATATTCCCTTGGATATTCCTTACAATGTACTTTTTAGGGTTTCTTGGGAATATCCCTTATAAATAGAAAGAGATAGAAAACAAAGACGGGATTTTCGCTTTTTGATAAAAGCACATTGTAAAGGTTGACTAAAAAAGAATATACAAAAGCTGTCTTATTCACTGATTACATTATTCAAGCACACGTTGTTCAATCTTTGTTCACAAGATCCAAAGATTTCATATACATCTTCACCTCTTATCCTTCCACGTCGCTGACAGGAGAAAGGAACATCCCAATCATACAATAATTGGGTGGTAGATCATTTCTTATTACATTTATTGTCATTATCTATATTTATTGCATGTTCACATTATCATATTCATTGCTAATTATTGAATATTAAATCTGCTATTTAATACTCCCAGACATTATTCATCTTGCAAATATCCTACTATATTCGATCTAGAGTTTATTAAATTTAACTAAGATTCACTCTTTATTTTATCATTAATTAGTTTAACAAAAGGTTATCACTTTTTGGTCAACAATTATCATGTCCAGTTCCATCGGGGATGGATCTATAAGAATTCACCTACCCCTATAATGCAAAAACCTGACTTGAATGATCCATGAATGCGAGATGTTTTGTGCACCGGAATACCCTTTATTGTAAATTGTAAATCCAAAATTCTTTTGTGTTAATTTAATTCAAATTTTTATTTTATTTTGTGCAATAACATTACTTTATTTTACGACTAATTGGTTATCTAGATGAAGATTAATTAAACGGATATATACTTGCCTGAGAATGAAACTCACATGGGAACGATAGCTGTTGAGATGGTACAAAATAATAAGGAAAGAAAATAAATATAGAAAGAGGATTATTGAAAGTCTATTTCTCAATGATGTAATACAATCGGATAAGAAAGCCTCCTGCATAAGAGAACAAAGACTTTGTTGAATATGATCAGGAATGAGATTAACATCCATGTAAATTTCTACTTATAAATTCTTCGGTTTACCGTGTTTCACGTGCAATATACTTGAAGCTTGGAACCACTGTCAGTGCAGCTAGAAGCAGTACCATCTTATCCCTTATTAGCAGAGGCGCATGCAGTGTGGAAGCCATAGCTTTCACTCGTACCATGTATTTTTACCCAACAAATTATTAGATACATACAAATAATAAATTTTGAACCCATTAAATTACATGAGATGTGATATAATTGTGAATAGGCATCCATAAAGATTAAATCCTGGATTCGCCTCTGCTTATTAGAGCCCGTTTGGATTAGCTGAAAAACTTGAAGTGCTGAAAGGCATTTTTCAATGTTGAAACTGATTTTTTGAATAAGCATTTACGTGTTTGGATAGACATACTGAAAATGATAATAAGCAGTTGATGTGTTTGGTAGAAAAGTGCCGATAAGATGTTCTTTTGTTAAGATGACTAAAATATCTTTAAAAACTTCAAAAACGATTATAAATTAAAAAGTTTCTTTGTAAAGAAAATGATGAACAACGAATATGGAATGAAAAGAAAGTTAGAAAATTTATTTTGGCAAAATATTTTGTGAATTAAAAAATATTATTAAGGATAAATAGGGGTATTCATAAAAATTCGAAAACCCGAACCAAATAGAAAATCAGACCAAACTGACCAAAAAACCCGATACTTTTTGGTTTGGTTTGGTTTGGTTTTGGTTTTGAAATTTAAAAACCGATCAAATTTGGTTTGGTTTTGATTTTAATTAAAAAAACCGAACCAAACCGAATATAGGAGTAGCTATTTTAAATTTATTATTACACCTATATATATGCATACAAAGTTTTAAAAATTTTATAGTAAATATTAATCGTTTGCACTTTTAGTACAATTCTTTACCTTTACATTCTAGTTTAATTGGTAGTTTTCTTTTGTTAAGTGTAAGAATCTATTTCATGTTAAAAATAATATATTTTTAATTGAGTCCTTAAATTATTCATAACTATTTGATTCAATTATCATCAATATATCTTGGTAAATAATAGATTTCTCAAAGGGCAATTGATTTGATAGTGTTACGTTGAAAATTTGATCGCCGAAATGTGTGTTTGGTAGGGTATGTCTTATATTTAAGAAAAAACCGACAAATAACCGAAAAAACCGAAAAACCGACATAAACCGAATCGAGAAAAAACCAACTTAATTGGTTTGGTTTGGTTCTAATATTTGAAAAACCGACTTACTTGATTTGGTTTCTTTTTATGGAAAAACCGATCCAAACCGAACCATGAACACCCCTAAGGATAAACTAGCAAAAACTTGATAAAACTAAAAGTGCTTATAAGCTGAAAAGTTGGAGGCGAGCAACTTACGATTTATGGTTGATTTTAGCTTATAAGCACTATGGGTATTTACCAAACACGTAGATAAACCAAAAGGTCCTTATAAGCCCGTTTGACCAGTTTATAAGCTTAGCCAAACACCATCTTAGCCTCGTACAAATAAAAGGACATATATCTACATGCACGAGGCAAGAAAAACTTATGCCACCTTTGCCTTCCGGAAGCATGTTGCTGTGTCAGTGACAACAAATTTGCCCCCAAGGCTGCTGAAGGGGTTGTATTTTGAAGTTATGGGATACTGGAATTGAGTGCTATAATCAATTCTAACAGTATCAATGTTATTTTAATGATCTTTCAAATGCACTAAACTTTCGCTATGTGCGGGATCCAAGGACAGGCCAGACCCACAAGGGTCTATTGTACGCAGTTTTATCCTACATTTCTTCAAGAGGTTGTTTCCACAGCTCGAACTTCACATGACAACTTTACCAGTTACGCCACGGCTCCCCTTCGTCTTTCTAATTTTGTATAGTTCAAAGAAAGGTTTCAATAAAGGATTTGAGTGCTATAATATGATTGCCAAAATTAGTGAGGAAAAGAAAGAACCCTTGCAGGCATATGGCTGGAGTAATCCGTCAGTGTATCATTAATGCTGAGCAGGTAACGAGAACTCCCAATAGGATCAGAACCAGAGATGCAAAGACAACTGAATTCAATTTTGTGAAACTGAAAATCCAATGTTACAAACATGGGGAAAAATGACAAAGAAGAAAAGGATCAGGGAACCATCTCAAGGTTGGGCAGCTTCCAAGAGCTTCTCATATACTTGTCTAGCTGTCAAATCCTCCACCTGATACAGTGAAAAAAAAATTAAACAAGAAAGTTGACTGAGAAATAACAATAGCAAGTAATATGCAGTTCTCAACAAGGATATTTCTCAAAAGCCAAAATGTATCTCCTGTCATAATGGGAGCATTTAATCAATTTTAAGCGTTTTCAAAGTGCAAAAATAGTGACTGAAAAGCTTTCCACTGATTCCATCAGTGGAAGTCCTTGGCAGGTTCGGTGGAAATCCTTGGCAGGAGAATACACCACCAAGCAACTTCCTTACATTTTCCTGTCTATGGGCTTCAATTCGACACATTTTTTCTAATTGAGTAAATAGTATAAGTGCGTGTATGGGGCAACCACATTGCTAAAATTAGAAGTGTCAATTTTTACTCACTACAAGAAGCTTTGATTTGCTATTCCACCCTCTTTGGAGAGTCATCTGAGATAGTTTCAGACCCAGTACCTGTGTCAACAGAAATCCTAGTGGTTCAGCGAATCAACCAACAAAGTATCTAAATTATGTGCTCAAATTTGATAGTATTTCCAAGAGGCAAAAAAGTGTTCAGCATACTCGGCCCATGAATTCCATAAGTTCATTGTTAGCTTCTCCACGAGCTGCAGGTGCGGATACAGTGACCCGAACATCATCTGCATTTACTCCTACAACAACAATATAAATGTAAAATGAGATTCTCCCAAAGATATTAGAAGTGTCACTTTTGCTGAGTAAGTTGATTAACTTTGTGCATTCTTAAGACAAAAAAAGAGCAAATCTCCATGTCACATAAAAAAGAGTCTTTCCTCAAAGAACGTATCATTGTCCAGTACTCGTCTGACATAACAGGCAGCTAAGATATGCTATTATGATTAAACTGTTTTCTTTATCATAAAATGACCATTCTTACGATATTGAGTTAAACCCAGACAAAAAGTTCTAGCCTGCCAGCACCGAGGGGGTAGGTCCATATGAAAGTTCAGAGTTTGGATAGTTGAGACATCAACATCCAGGCCAAACAGCCGGTTTAATACTGCAAGCACTAAATTAAACTTTTACAATTAACAGAAGAGTAGGAAATCGTTATTAAAGGTACTTGATGAAAACACTGTAGTGGAGTAATTGTAAGACTTTTTGCTGTAATTTTTCAGTACCTCCTTCATACTTGGTTGAATAATATTACCTTACTTTATCTTAAGAAATTAAAGGTACTAATTATATATGAAGCATTGTTCAGTTGACAAATTATTTCGCAACTATAAAGGAATTGAAGCAAATGAGAGTGTCCAAGTCTAACTTCTAAAAACGATTCAAAGATTGTTTACTTGTAATTGCTGACCGTTGGGCACGGTCCTCGACTTCTATTGCCACTTGCACAAGGCCACCTTCTAACTGAGAAATGCAGGGCGGTACAGGAGCATCCTAAAATCAAGAAGAAAATTTAATCCCTAAAGGTATATCCATATACATGTATCTGGAAGATAGAATAAAGCATAAGATTTAACATGATCTTACAACACAAGCAAGTGACATAGAATACAGGAAGATTACACAGCTAATGCAGAAAATATATTTCAGCAAGCAGAGAACAATCAATTTAACGGCTTGCTGCAATACAGAGAATATGTAGGCAAAACTATATATACTGCAGCCAGGAAGTGAATAATGGTAAAATCCACAAAGAATTATTACCTGTGGATTTGTCTCAGCCGCAATAGTACTAAGTGCACCATCAACTACATAGATGAAGGAGGCAGTCTCCAGATCTTCTTCTGACCGGTAGCAGACAAACAGGCCACAACCCTTACAGGACATCCGAAACTGCTTCTCCAGTTTCCCTTCACCACTTTTAATCAAAAGCGGAGAGTTTCAAAATGATGTTATGTGTAAAAATTGTTACCCTTATCAGTCATAAATAACAAAGTTCTTTTCCAGTGAAGAAAGAGACATAAGCTAAACATCTCTAAGTTAATAATGGATAGACATCGCATAAAGGAGCCGTCATAAAGGGCCAATCCACAATGTACATCAGAGAGACAGAAAGTAATTTAATCCTGGCAATGTTGAGCTTATCTTACTGACATTTGACTGTGTCTTGTTCACCATTTTTCCGAACCCCCAATGGTAATAATGTGTTGGTCTACACATTCTCCATGTACATTCTGTATAGCTACTCCAATTTCTCAGATAGACATACTTTCAACACTTTCAATGATGTCATTCCACTATAGCTCAAGTTCATTACTGCTGGATTATATCAGCTTCTCTTTAACTCTTAGCATCTAGCAGCACTTTTCCTTTACAATATATTCTATTTCAAATAGAAATATCTTGTTATCTTGACACAGCAGCTAATTGTATGTACTATGTACTCATAAGGGAAGTAAATCAATAGACTAACGATTACAAGAGCAGAAAGATTACCGCTTTAGAAGAACTTTCCCCGCATCATCTACACTCAGTCTTGCAAGATACTTTTCTTTATCCAATACATATGCTTTGTCGGTTTTCCTTTTTGGCATTTTCTGCAATTGATTATCTACAAGCATACTTTAGCGAGGAGAATGCCCTGTAATTGGCAGTAACGCCATAATAAAATAACAATAATTTCCTCTCTTATTCTTTGGAGAATCATACGGAATTTTTTCTCCAATTTGCCAAGAACAAGAAAGATCATGCAGCACCTAATCACATCTAATCCGTGCACAATCAAAAGACTAGTTCATTGGAAAATAATAGAAAATAGAAATTCTCAAAGTTCAGTGTAGCATGTATCATATTCATCATAGAACCAAAGAGGCAACCAAATATTTACTACTATAACAAAATGACTCAATTGTTCGAGCCCTGCCACTGATAAAAGCCTGGTGTCATTATCCACCGATTTTCGAACCGTGCACCACAGGCCTTAGAGATTTCTCGGTTATAAAAAAAAAGACTCAATAGTTCAGAAGAACTCCCCATAGGAGATTAAAAGAATGAATCGCCGGGGCATAATTGACTCAGCAAAACTTTTCAGCTTAAGCTTAATTCAACTGGTCCTTCATTGCCATTTCCATAAACACAAAACATCCTACCTGGACCATAGCATCTAGAAAGAAGCTCAAAAAAAGTCGAAGGGGATATTTAGGGAGTCAAGTAAACTTTGTTTACTACTAGATTTTTCTATAACTTCTTTTAAAAATAAAAATTTGTGATTTATAGTACTCTAAATTGAAAATTCAAAAACTATAAGAAGACAATATCCTAATTCACGCTCATTCTTTTTTTAACAGTGACGAGTAAATTCCGTTTATAAAAGAAAGGAAGAGGGAGGAGTGCGAACCGGAGATGAGGACGTGAGAACTGCAGTGTTTGCAGTAATAGACAAAGAGATCGGAGTTTGGACCGTCGGGAACTGCGTCCTCGCTCGAGTACGTGTGAGTTGTCCTCTTCGGCATCTTTCCCCAAGGCCTCGCAAGTACCCACACTGACGGAGAAGATGAAATAGTTTCTTTTTCTCTCTTTCTTTTTTCTTTCAGCTCCTTGTATTCCAAGTGAATTCTACTTTTGCCTTCGTCCTTTTTCTATTTCGGCAGTTTGCCTCCAAATTCACGATAAAAACTAAGAAAAAGGAAAAGAAATGCTCTCGGATATAAAATTCAAATTAGTTAGAGTGTATATATATATATATATATGTTTATATACATGCGGTTACTATTTTTAGTTTAACCTGTTGGATGGACAACTATCTAGATTAATTCTTCTTTTAAAAAATGTAGATTATTTGATTGACGCCTCTCATCACATCATATAATATGAACGACAATATAACGTTTTGAAAGATCATTTGCCTCTTGTTTGACAAAAAATGAGTTAATCCTTGGTTAAACTAATTAATGATTTATCAAGATGGGACAATCCTAATTAAAGCTAATAATTCTAGATCTACAACAGATGATATGAATAACAGTGTATTCAAATTGAGATGTGGGTAATAAATGTAACCAAGTATTATGTTATGTAGAAAGAACAAGCAATAAATAATATTAAAGGGTAGTAAATGTAAATAGAGGGGAAGATTCGCCCAATATTGAAAAGGGTAAAGGATTCCTTCCTCTGACAAGGATGAATCACATGAGTGAGATGGAATATTATGCACTTTCTTGGATCTGATGGAAAAGACAATAGAATAGTTCACCAATAGGATCAATCTTAATGAAAAGTAGTTATTTGTATTATATCTAAGAGCTTATTTTTTTACAAGTGTTCTTATCGTATGGAATCCCCCTCTTTTTCTCCCTCTTTCTTTCTATTTATATGGGATATTCCCTAGGAACCCTAAAGAACAAACAAAGAGAATATCCACTGGAATATTCCCTATTGTGGACTCCAATATAAACTAGCTGGTATTTCTAACTCTGCTTGACCTCGACCACGACCAGTTGTTGAGCGACTCGACGCATGAGGTTACTGACCGACCATGACCACGCCGCACTCAAAGATTTCCAGATCACTCTCCTCGCCCAACTCTGCACGACTTAATCCTCGGTCTGATTTTGACCCATACAGTTAGTCTATCCACTTAGCGAGGTCGTCCTTTGGTCGGTCTCACTGAGCGGACATCACCGGTCGTGCTTGAGAGATTTGGGGGGAGGAGATTGAGTGGGAAAGGAGTTTGCACGAGGTGACAATGTGGCGCTTCGAGAACCACAACTCATTGTAACGTAAGCCTATGATGACATCATTGTTTTAGGCATCATCATTATGCCTCTTCCCAACGCGCCACATCGTTTGCTGTGCTTCTGATGTTTGGATTCTTGTGCAGCCGGCGGTTGGCGTTTCGATTCAGGTGCTTGTTCTCTTATAAAATACCAGAGGAGAACCCCTTGAGTTAAACTTTACACACTCTCATTTTCTAAGCCTTTGCTTCCCATCATTCTCTTCTTCCTTCTGCATTCTAATTTCACCTTGTTGCTGATTTTGCGATAGATTTATGCAATTCCTCCTTCTATTTGAGGCCATATTCTTAATATCTTCGTTTAACAGAAGATGGCAACCCCCTCCCATGTTTCTGATGTCTCGTTTGAACTAATACCACTTTCAGTGAGGGTGCCTCCTCATGAGGATGATATGGCTGTCGTTGTTGACGATGACAACTTTCCTACTGTAGACGAGATTATCCCCTGTAATGACAAATCCATGTTAGATTTTTTGAAAAAGCCGACGGAAGACCCTGAATCAGTACTCTCCAAACTGGACGAGGCTGTATTAGCCGAGCTAAGAGTCAAGTACGAAATTCCTGCCTATATTAACCTAGTCCTGGTCGGAGGAGCCGTGGTTCAAGTTCATCGACTGGGGTATTACGCCTTCTACGTGTACTCGTTCCGTATAGGCTACTCTCTTGCTCTTCCTCTATTGGTAGAGGAGTTTTGCCGATACTACTAGGTCTGCCCGGCTCAACTTTCCCCATATATCTACAAGATTTTTTGATGCTGGCGAAATATGCCAAATTGGCCAACTGTGGGGTTTCACTTCGTCACTTGCTACACCTCTTTGCCCCAAACTTCCTCAGAGGTACGATGCTGCATCTTTGCCATCATGGGACCAAGGGATTGGTCGTGAAGATGGATGAGTTTAAATTTCCACTTCTTCTACATCAAGACCAAACGCGTAGTGGCAAATCCTAGTGGATTCCCCGAGGAGTACTTTTATCAACCATTCTCTTTGTTTCATTTGGTTTCGTCAACGATCTTACTGATCCTTGTTTTCTCTTGTGCAGCCGAAAGGGAGCCTGGTTGCCGATATTCGAGACTGGGTGAGCCAGATTTTGCCATGCACGGTGGGGATTCGTGAGTAGTCGCAGTTCAACAAGAAGTTCGGTCGTAATCCTTCTTCGATCGGTGAGTCATATTGTTTTGACCTCAGTTGCTTCGACCTTCATATCGTCTTTTCTTTTTTCCCCCTATTTTTTACATCTTCCTTTGTTGATAGGTCGGAGGGCTCCGAGGAGGGCGAGGGCTCCTACTCCCATATTTCGTCAGTCAGGTGCTTCAACTAGGCCTCTACTAGCCGCGATTGCAGGTGAATCCGTTCAGACTATTGTTCCTTCTCGGACCCCGACCTCACATAGACCTAGCCGTCATGCTGTTGCACCACTAGCGGAGATTCTGGCTTCCTTAATGTTTCATTTAGTGGATGAGTCATTACTGGGAGAGGAGGAAGAGGCTCCGCTAAAAAGGCGGAGAATAGAGGTTGATGGCAAAATGGCTGAGAACGAAGGGCCCACAGGGGTTGATCCTGGGCTGGCCACGGTTGTGCCCGAGGGCGGCATGATTTTAGACGCGAAACAATGTCCCCTTCCAAGAACAGGAATCTACAGTCGTTTAAGGACATCGATCTGTCGTTGAGCGTATCTGGAATGGCTTTGCGGGTGAGTTGGTATCTTTGTTTTTGTTTCTTGTCTTTTCTCCTTTTTATTCTTATTGACTCTTTTCGGCTCTTTTTCTCTTTAGACTCTTATTTTGGAGATCGAGCGCGCCCGCCGAGAGAAGAAGCAGAAGGCGGTTTTCAAGAAGATGGTTTTGAAGTATCACCGCTATCATGACAAGTAACGTGCAATGCGTGCCCGGTTTGGTGCGGATGGTAATTTCCAGTCCCTTAGAAACGAGATGGGGAAGAAGGACGATGAGCTCGTAAGGGTCATCGACAGATGCAGTGAGCTCGAGGGATTGCTTAGAGTAAAGGAGGACGAGCTCAAGGTGAGCAAAGGGGTCGTGGCTGAGTGTGTCGACCTTTAAGCTCAAGTGGCGTCTTTGTGGGCTGAGGTTGAGTAGAGCTCGATTAGAGCTAATGGCTTGAGTTATGAGTTGATCGAGAAAGTGGCAGAGTTAGAGAACACCGAGGAGGCCAGAATGATGGCTTTGGCAAAGGTGGCATCATTGGAGGAGGGCATTCGCGTGCTTAGATCTGAACGAGCGAGTGAAGCTGAAACGGCCGTGTTGTAGATGAGTTTCTATTTCAGCTTCAGATGTGGTGGTATGAATTAGGAGGAGATGGTCAAAAATGAGTCATTAAGTATTTGGGAGCTCTCACAGATATTATGAAAGTTAAACCACGCGATGATTTGATCACGACACTAGTGACTTTTTGAGACCCTGTTCACAATGTCTTTCAGTTCTCTGATTTCGAGCTTACTCCCACATTAGAAGAAATAGCTGGATATTCCGGCTTTGACGGAGATTTGAGAAACCAGAATCTTATATTCCCAAAGGCTCCCTCTGTACACCGATTCTTTGGTCTTCTGAATATCAGTAATCAAATCAGAAAAAGCAACGTTGTCAAAGGGTGTTGTTTTTTCAACTTCCTACATTCAAGGTTCGGAAAGCCAGGTAGATTTGAAATTCATGAAAAGGGCCTTACTAACAAACAAAATAAGGACACATGGCAGATTCACCGTCGCTTCGCTTTCATGGTGGCTTTTCTAGGAGTCATGGTCTTCCCAAACAAAGAGCGGACGATTGATATTCGCATAGCTAGAGTCATAAAAGTCCTCACTACCAAAGAACATCACACTTTTGCCCCGATCATTCTCTCAGACATTTATCGGGCGTTGACTTTGTGTAAGTCCGGGGCAAAATTCTTCGAAGGGTGTAATATTTTGTTGCAAATGTGGTTGACTGAACATCTCCGACATCACCCCAAGTTCATGCAGTATGGTCCGAGCAAGGACAATTTCATTGAGAGTTATGAAGAAAGAATAAAAGATTATAAATCTCCGGAAGGGGGTGGAAGCCGGGATATCCCATTTAAGATCTTTAATGGCAAGTCAAATTGAGTGGACTTTGGGATGACTCCCGGTAATAGAGGTGATACACATGTCAACCTTAAAGAGTTATTTGCTGTTGTTGGATTTAAGAAGTGTCCAGCAGTATGCGCCACAGAGAGCTCTAAGACAGCTAGAGAGATACCAAGTGGTGCCTGATAATGAAGATTTGAGTGTGCAAGTGATTGAGCTACACCCCGAAGCCACACTCCCTGAGTCTTTAATCCAACGGATTTGGAATGGTTGTCGATGCTTGAAAGATGATACCCAAGTTCCAGATCCTGCGAAAGGTGAGATAAATCCGGGTTATGCTAGGTGGTTGAGAAAAGATCTTGTGTGGATGATGCACCAGAACCCGATCCCAGAAGGCCCATAAAAAGACCGCATGTGTCAAGCCTTTGATGACAAAATTCAAGAACGGTTGGCTTGGGGTGAAAAGGAAAAGGGGTACAAAGCAACTATTCATGCCTTAGAAGAAAGCCTGAGGAACCTCAATTTGGAGAAAGACTTACAAGCACAAGAAGCAGAAGGTGAAAAGAAGAGTCTGATTTACGAGAATAAAACTCTTCGCACTCAGTTTCAACAGATGAAGAAAGCCTCTGAAGCGCCAGTGAGAAGTTGGAAAGATCAGAAAATCATTTCCAATCTGATGGAAAGGATGCAAGATTATGACTCCATTT